CCCTCCTTTATCTTAATCAGTAAGAATTGTGCAGCATCCTCCTCCTCTCACTTGTGAAGATTACCAACCTCAGAAATACGTTTTGTGTTCCCTTGTAGGTTATTCTAAAAGCTGGGAAGTGTGCAGTCAGCTTGGGCAATCAGAAGGCTACCAGGATTTGGGTATGCGTCAGGAACTCATGGCTTTTGCTCTGACGCACTGTCCCCCAAGTGCCATAGAGGCGCTGCTGGGAGTGAGCAGCTCGTTGCAAACCCAGGTAGATGTTTCTGAAACGTCTTTCATGCAAATTCAGTGTTTACTGAATTTGTGCTCATTTTAAGTTTGTTCCTTTAAGTTGTAGCCCCAGATGTTTGTTTTACTGTATTTTTCTACTTTCACTGTTAAATTTCAATAAATGAGGTCTCTTTATAAGCGTTTTTATATGATGAGTTGGCTTCTGAAGTAGGAGTGCAATTGCATTCTTGATTTTTCAGTTCGTTTAATTTCTTCATTTATTGCCTGATTTAAACATTTTATTTGTAAATGCAGTTAAATAATTTTTTAAAATGTTTTCCTGGTTATGTCACCTGTTTGCACCTTATAATGCAACTTCATTAAGTGCCTACATAAATCTCTATTAAATGTTATTCTTACATTTTATGAACTCTACCCATTGCACAGTGAAATTCTTTTCTCACTGATTTCAACCATGTAATAATAAACTACAACAGGCTTTATGTCTGAGCCATCTTTATTAACTCTACAGTGACTGACTTCCACATCCCTAAGGTCATTTTATCAAGGGATTACAACAGTGAGAGGATGTCAAAAGATTACCTCTGTGGTGTTCTCCCTGTCTTCCCCTGCACCCGTGTTTTTCTATGATGGGGGCTTTTACATCAGAATTTCTTGTGTTTCCTATGACATCAGTCATAATTCTTACATTTGATTATTTGACTATTAAAAGATCATATTTATTTTATGGTTATAGATTCTTTATCAGGCTGTGAATTATCAGTTCCTTCCTTCAGAAGGAGGTGAGAATATGAATATCTCAGGACCTGCTTCATTGATCAGTAAGGATTCAGAGGTAAGCTTTAAAAAGTTTTTAAAGGAATAATGATTTTGTTCTGCGATATGCTGAAGTGCTGACTTTGAGTTTTTAGCAGCGTCAACATGTTTACTAGATAAAATGCACCACACTAAATACATCTACTAATTTATGTTATTAGAGTGTTTTAAGTTCAAGGTTTTGATTATGTTTTTATACTTACTCTTTTCTGATTTTTCGTTGCTTCCTCCTACACAATCTTAGCACGATAGGAAAAAAAAACTACTTATAAACCCAGAGGCAGGAGCAGACAAAGGTGCAAGAAAACTTAACACAATAAAATACATTTATGTTGGTTTGATTTTTGATCTGTTCCAGCTGCAAAGCAAGACATTTGAAAATAAACCTGAGCTATGTATTTAATTAAAACATGTCTTGATTTAAACGTATTTTTCCTCTTTGTTCTGTGCATTATCAAGTTTATGACTTCTTTGTCATTTTATAACTTTCATATATTGCACATGAAATAATGTTTGCCTGTAAGATCAAAAGGAACATTGAGTGTTTTGTAGGAAATAGAGGCAGGGCAGCAGGAACGAAATTATTATTATTACTATTCTTATTTCTAATTTTCATGTTTATTTTTTTAACAGATTTAAGTGTGCACATGTACAATCGCAAGTATGTTTCTCTCCTTAAAGATGATGTGATAACCTGTTTATGAAAGGAATGTCTGTCTTATCCTCTTCAGAGTAGAAAATTAGGGGTTTTTTTCTTTGTTTTCTGTTTAATTGAGTTTTTCTGTAGGTGATAAACAGATCAGAGGCAAAAACTTTAAAGTAAAGGAAAGAATAGAGACAGAAAGAAAAAAGGTGGTTCAGTTGCAGTCTGTCTTTTTGAAAAAAGTGTCTGAATGGCAGCCTCTTTAAAGTCATTATACCCTTTGGGAGTTTTTACTAATGACAGCTCTAGGTGGAACACCATAGTCTTTGCCTTTGTTATATTTAACACTATGTGGCTTAAAAAACCACACCTCTGCTTCATGTTATTGTTCCCAACAGGCAAATTCTATGTGTATGTTTGCATTTTTTGTGTTTTTTTAACGTGTCTATAGTCATATATGCATACTTTGTATACAGTGTATGTATTTGTAAACATACATATATGTATTTGCATATATACAAAATAAATGGACAGGAAAGTAAAATAGCACTGAAAACAGTAATCAGAGGAAGAGAGCTAAACACTATCTGCTAGAATCATTGGTGTGAAGATCAGGTCTGTTCACTGGCACCCTTTATTTTCTGGAAACTGGTAAATTAATCTCTGAAAGGAAGATTATTAAGTAGGTGTTGATAAAATTGTGTAACCTTCTGATTTGGGTGTGGATATGTATGTTTACAATACTTAAAATATATATAACAAATTTGTCATGCATCACTTTTCATATGCTGTAGTACTATTGACTGTATATTGTGACAGAATAGAAATGATTCAGAAACTTGTTCAGTGGTTTATCAGAGTTGAGTAAACTCACTGATGGACTTCATTATGAATTCAGTTTGGATATCTGAAGCAACTCTCATTATGCTGGGGAATTCACATCCAGAAAATTATCCACTGTTATTTTCTCCAATATATCTATTTTTTTTCCCTTATTTGTGGTTGGTTGTCTGATTAGATTCGGAAGTAGGCAGACAGTTGGCCTGGCAAGTTCGTGTGTTGCTGCATTGAGATTTTTTTCTTTCTGTTTTAATGCAGCTTCTTGGCATGTTGTATTTCAGACTCTTACACTATGAAATGAGTTCTGTATATTTACTAATTCTGTCTTTTTTGTTCTCTCCCAGTTGACTTAATAAGGATTTATAGTTTCTTTCATTTCTTGCAGTGACACAGGAGGAAACGTAGCCAAGAATTTAGTCACTGTATAACCCTTCCTTTGTTACAGACATCGGAAATGTTAGAAAAGCAATACATTTAATAACTCAGTTTCTTTGACTTAACTGAATTCTGTAACTGCAATTCCCATACATCCACTTCAACTAATTCCTCGTACTTCACCATCAGTCTTGCACAGAATTTCAGTTTCTTCAAAGAAAAAACAAGCTGTAAGACTTTTTTCCCCTTTCTTTTCAGTCCTTTCTTATTTGCTTGTGTCTTGATTAACTTTTAGCACCCTATTCACAAGGAGTTGACAAATGTTCTTCTTTCTCACTTAGTGATGCCTTTTCAAATTGATGATTTAAATGCAGTTTTCCTTATCTTGACTTGACTAAGCTTTTTCTAGCCTACATGTGTTTGGGGATCCCTTTCTCTATTGCATTAAGAATACCTATCTGTAAGTATATCTGTTTTCCCTTTCAAACATTTAATGACCTTTTTCTACCTCTTCTTGGGTTCCTTGAATCATTAGTTGCCGCTTTAATTTTTTTTATTATCCCTACCTACATCACCAGCTGGTCATACTTGTCAGTCATTCTTCTCTTGATGGAGTCCTCTCTGGAAGTGTCTGCTAATTTCATTTTTGTTGTTTTATTTTTTTTTCCTGTTAAACTTTTTTTCCCATGAAACTTGCCAAAATCTTGGTAACAGTTGGCTACTTATCTTCACAGATTGCATAAAATATGTTATTTAACATTGCTGTCATACTGACTTCAGTGTAATTTTTCTCCCATGGTTTGGTGGTCCTCTGAAGGAAATTCCTGATTGCTATGATAAAAATGCATGTAATTATTCTGTAGGAACTAATGCATTTGCACAAGGATGGGAGGTACTTGGTTACCTTAGTGCCAGCTTGTCACAAGAGAAATTTGCAGTTTCAAGTTTCATTGAAACCAAACTCTTTGGTAGGAGAGCAGACATAATTTCTAGAGGAGAGTATCTTCAGATTATAGGAATTATTTTCTTTAACATTAACTGAAGAAAATTTCCAATTAACAGAGGATAAGCATCTTCTTTGCTTTTGCATTTTTCCCAAGCACTAGATCTGGGAAAAGAAGGGATCTTTTAAAACATTTGTGTTTTAAATTTGTGTGGCATGTGTTTTTATCACTGCTGGTTAGAAATGATTAGGAATGTATTTGTACCATGCACTGGGAGCTCTTCTACCTGGAGTCTTTGGAACCTCAGGGCAAAAATTATGCTCCAGCTGCTGTTTCAAAGAGTTGTGATTTATTGTTTTTTTAATTTTATTTTTTATTTTCCAATGAACTGGAGCTGTGTTTTGTGGTTTAGTAAATGTACTTGTTTTGATTCTGTAATAACAAAATCAGAATTCTCCTTATAGGAATAGGTAGCTGTCATTCCTAGAGGAGTGATGCTCGCTTACTGTGTCACTGAACTCTTGTGCGAAGGGGAAAAATCTCAACGTGTAATTCTATACGTGCGCTACTTAAACTCCTGTTGTAGTCAGTGGAGATCTTGTCAACGGTGCATGGAGAATAATGCAGTTAATCAGCCATTTTGTGCTTGATTTGATATGCCCTAAGTTATCCTCCTGTCTTTTAGCTGCTGACCCAAAAATTCTAGGTCCTCTGTCAGATCTACGAGTGTTAAGCAGATATCTTAATTACTACTGGATCTCTCATTCATCAAAGCATGTGTTTAAGCAGCTGAATCAAATGCATTCTGTATGCTTAAGGCTGGGTTGGTTTTTTGGTTCTAGTGACTTTATAGCCCTAATAAGAGCTTAGACTTCCAGCGACACCTAAATTTTGGTGTTGACACCTTGACCTGAATCTTTTCTGTAGTCTCTCATCTGGAGTCTGGTTTGTCTTTGCAGGACTGGAGTTTTCAATTAGTCTGGTTCATTAGCTGTAACATACACTATGAAAAGGGAAAAAAACCCACCAGACAAACAACAAAAATCAAAAAACTGCAAACCAAAATCCTCCAAGACACAAAAAATAAATGTGGAACAAACAAATAGTTATGTAAAAGACAGTATTTTAAATTCCTGCATTCCATTGGGAGTACAAAAAAGGGAAAAAGAAAAAGGAAAGCTAATACTTGGTGTTTTCTGTCCTATGAACAGAATCTGTTCCACCTCACTTTTTTCTTCATAATCTTAATACAAAATGACTCTTAATGCATAAAGTGTGTACAGTGTGTGTTTTTTGCATGTTTTGATCCTTACACCTTGACTAATTGTTATTAAAAAGCAAAAAAAAAAATCTATGTTGCCAGTGTTCTGCTATATTACTCTGTGTATTCTGTGGCTTATTTAAAAAATAGTTGGCTTTGTCATTTGTCCTTGTAATAGACTATTTGGAATTATATCTATATGTGTGTGTATGTATGAACATATGTGTGCGTATATATATAAATATTTTAGCTATTATTTTTGAGTACCTTGATAATTCAGAATTTGTTGGCTTTTTGTGTCAATTTAAACTAATACAAATATTTAAGGTGCTAATTTAAGATTAATAAGATATTATAATTTTGTTTTTAATCATAAGTGCTTACTTTTACAAAGGATATCAGGAAGAATGGTATCTCTCAAACACCCCTCTAAACCTCCAAACTATAACTTCTTCCTGAAGGCTTAGTTAAAGGATACAATTAAAGTTGTCTTCTTAAAATGAAACCTCCAGCAATCTTTAAGAAGTCATTTATTTTATCAGAGATTGATTTAGGATAGCAAAAATTTACAGCCTGAAAGTGTTGCTGTTCCAGGTACACAGAGGAATGGCTTTTCGGCAAACAGAATTCCTACTTGTGCAGAGAAGAATGTAATTACTTGCAAGAGTTGAAATTCTTTTTAGAAAAAATCAATAGAGTTTCTCTGATAGCAGTAGAACTATAGAAGCATACACACCAGCATGCAAGTTAACCTCTTAGTTTTCACACTACTGAAAGAGGTTTGTTTTAAAAAATGTGTTTTGCAGAAATGTAGTTGAGAACTTGGGGAAAGTGTATATTTTTTCTGTTTCCATTGTATTTTATTTTTTCCCCTTGAAGAATCAGTTAGGTGTTTGAAAATGAAGGCAGAGAGAGAAAGTAATATTCTGTATACAACATTTAAAATAAATTGCAAAAAGCTTTCATACTAAGTACCGAGAGTGTCTTATTTTAAAAAAATCCACAAAGAAGAAATTCTCCCCTACCACACTAAGCCACAAGACCTAGGATTTTCTGTTGCTTTTTTACTTTTCAGAGAAGTCAGAGTTCTAGTTTGTTGTACTTGGCCTTGTTTTTTTAATTTGGTGAACTAAGAGCTTAAATTTCCAACTTAGCCAGTCAGTCATTAGTAGTGCATCTGTGAAATGCAGAATATAATTTCAGAAAAGATTGAAAAAAATGCTAAAGCGTTAATGGAAAGAAGGACTTAAGACTGACCTGTTACTTCAGTGGTCAGCTTGAAACAGTGATTTACAGCATACTCTGGTAATCTAATAATAAAAAAAGTTTATCTACAGTGAAATTCTGCCTTTTTGAAACTAAACTGTTTTGTCACTGAAGTTAGGGTGGGACATAATTCACTGGACCATAACTTGACATCCTTTTGCTTTGATGTCTGAAATTTTGTCATGAGTTAGTAAGTTGTAAACTAATACCTCTCATTCAGTTATACAGGTAGAATATTTCTATTTCAATACACTTCAGCGTATAGGAAAATTAATAACATAGTTGTTAGGGAGAAACACTGAATATAAAGCTGCTGAAGTTTGCTGTATGGAGGAAAAAAATTTTGTTTTTTTCTGAAGACAGCATGTTTACATTAGCATGCTAATTACATATTTATGTCTAATCACAGAGTCACAGACTATTAGGAGTTGGAAGGGACCTCGAAAGATCATACAGTCCAACCCCCCTGCCAGAGCAGGATCACCTAGACCAGGTCACACAGGAACGTGTCCAGGCGGGTTTTGAATGTCTCCAGAGAAGGAGACTCCGCAACCTCTCGGGGCAGCCTGGTCCAATGCTCTGTCACCCTCACAGTAAAAAAGTTTTTCCTCGTGTTCACATGGAACCTCCTATGCTCCAGCTTGCTCCCATTTCCCCTTGTCCTGTCATTGGCTGTCACTGAGAAGAGCCTGGCTCCTTCCTCCTGACACTCGCCCTTTACAAATTTATAAACATTAATGATGTCACCCCTCAGTCTTCTCCAAGCTAAAGAGACCCAGCTCCCTCAGCCGCTTCTCATAAGGGAGATGCTCCACTCCCTCCATCATCTTTGTGGCTCTGCACTGGACTCTTTCAAGCAATTCCCTGTCCTTCTTGAACTGAGGGGCCCAGAACTAATGTAAAGCATGCAATTAACACAAACCTTTTAGGACTGAAATAGCACAGATCACCCAATATGGATGTTCTGAGTATTATTTAAATGCTTTATGTGCAGAAGAGCTGGTACAGAAACCTCCATTTGTGAAACATGTCTTCTACTTTTAAGAATTGACTTACATGTGAGTTTACTGGGGCTGAGTTAAGATGTTTTCAGGATAACATGTAGACATACATGTGCATGTATTGCAGAAGCAGTTTGGGATTGAGAATAGGCTGGGGTCTCTGTTTTTTTTTTCCAGTCTTAGGTTTGCTATTTTCAGTACCTTGCAAGTGCTGACTGCAGAATTTAAAATCTTGATGATACTTTTTCACTTGGTGTGGAGATGAATGTTTACATCTCTTCACCATTTTCCCTACTGAGATTTCAACTTAATTAATGCTGCCTCTGTACAAATACAAGATTGTCTCTACTATCAGCTTTCTTGAATTATTGAAGATTAATTTTAGCATGCTCAAACTCCTCATTTGTAGAGAGATCATTATATTAACAGAAGCATTCAACAATTATGTAAAACATTGCCATTATAGACTTTGGAATTAAAAACAGCTGGTGCCTGTGGAAACAAGAATTATAGTTGACTAAAGGGCAAATGTTCTACTCATCATGCTACTTGCTTCAGATTCAAACTTCTACATCACTTTTAACTAGTCTTCTGTTTGTTTCTTACAACAGCTGTTGCTTAAATTACTAGTCATTAAAATATATTATTACCATAGTGTGCCTGATCTCTAATGTGTTTGGCTTTAGGTCATTAGCCTAATTAAAGCATGAGTCTAACGCTTGCTGTCGTGTATTGGATGTGCTCACAGGATGAAACCAGTGTCTCCTCTGGCCAGTCTGCTGATCTGTTGTACTGGACCACATCAAAAACCATGAAGGTGTTGTCTAACACAACTACGACTACAAAAGCCATGCTGCATGCTGTCAGTGATGGACAGTGGTGGAAGAGATCATTAACTTATCTTCGACCATTACATGTAAGGGATTGCTGATGTGTCTGCAGGGGCTTACACATTCGCTGATACACTGGTATAAAAGATGGGCTCCTTTATAGGTAACAGGTAACTGAAGACCTCAGGTCAATAAATGAACTAGCGACATCAAGGGATTGTTTGCAAGCAAATCTCAACGAAAGAGGGGTCTAAAGCTGTTTCCATCCTTTGTTTTCTCATGTTTTCTCCTGCTTTTTTAGCATAGTGTGAGAAGGCATAGTTGAAATTTGGCAGAACTTCAGAACTTTGGGGAAGAGAGCACAGTGGAGTGCACTCTTTAAATGCTGTCATTTTATATTCAAAGCTGTTCCTTTTCAGTTTCTCTTTCTTTCTACCTTCTCTACTGCAGTGGATTTTCTGTAATGTTTATGATACTAGTTTCTCTGGTACTACTTTTAAGCATGATTCTTTTTAAGAATACTGGACCTCATTCAGCATTGGTTTTTATATGATGACTTCTGTCTTTCTCCTCACTGAATTCAATGATGTTTTAATTTACAGTTGCTTTCCTTCAAAGTGCAGCTACAGACTTTTTGATGACCTGTGTTTATGACTAGGCTCAACTGTACTTATTTTTTCCAGGGCCAAGAACTTGGAGATGTATTAAAAAGTGGGCCTGGACAAAATGCCGCTGTGGAAAAGCAAGGCTGTCATCCGTTTTATGAATCTCTAATTGCCGATCCATATGTTGCAGAAGTAAGTTTCTGTTATAGAATTCAGAAGTGGTAGTTTTTTGTGGAGACTTAGAACTAATTAACAGTATGGATGTTGGATCATTTGTGTGACTTGCAAGGATTTGAAATTTTGTGCAACAGTTGGAAAAATTCCAGCACTGAACAGAAAGGAAAGCAAATGCAAGGAACCAAGGTAGCTAATTGCATCTGGTGGAAGTGAGCTAAATATAACTCTAGGGTCTAGTGCTCCTGTGTCAGTTTTCTTGTTTTACTTCTAGTCTGAAATCAGCTATGGCACATACCAGAACAATTCTTTGGAAAGCTTTGCGGAAGTATTGCTGAGAACAGAGAAACTAACAGAAACAAAGAGTGAAGGGAAAGACCTACTTCCTACTACAGAAGGTATGGGTATGTGTGTATTCACTTCTGTAATTACTATATATAGTAAATATAGGAGGATCTGTGGATGGGTTTACGTATGGAAAATTGCACACAATGATTTGAAGTCCTGTCTGGGTATTTTGTAAAAATGGTAATCTGGTTCATCATCTTATGTTGGTAAGTAGTCTTGATAGAAGTACCTGCAGCAATTTCCAGAGAAATGGTATTTTTAAGAGTCGCTCAATAAAAGGTAGAAATCTGAAAGTTGACTTTTAATCAGAAACAACTGATATTTGGAGGCTGACAAAGATATGAACATTAAGGGGGTTGAATTGTTGAAGGTTTCCTGAATACTACCGTGTACAGATATTTAAATAGAAATCTGCAGCCCACATTTCATGTTATTTGTATGAATGCCTGTTTATTCTTTTGTTCAGATACTGTGTCATGGTTTGTGCAGCTGTCAGTATTGTAAAGTCGTTGAAGTACTTTATTTGCTAATTAATGCTCAACTGCGGTTTCTGGAATCATTAGAACTTTTTGTCTTATAGAATTTCTACATCTTATAGTTTATATTTAATAATTTGGTAACTGAAAGAGTTTCAATTTAAAACACAAACAAACAAACAACACAGTAAACCACCTATAATTGTTTGTCTTTTCTTTTGTCTGTCTCCTGCTGGAGATGAACTCATGATGATGATGATTCATTCAGAAATGAACTGTTCAAATATTTACATGCTGTTACTGTCTTTTGAAGGAAGGCATGTGTATTATATTTTACTCTCGTTTACTCTAATTTTAAGTTCTGCCATTAAAAATGAGTGTATTAAATCACTTGCAATATGAAAAGAGTTCCATGTGAGACTTTCTTCAGAAGCTGCACGGTTTTATTTCAACTGTTTAGTGAAAACCAGTATCATTCTCTTGAAGGCATGTGATTCAGTAGTTAGTTTGATATGTGTGATATTTCTGCAGATAACCTGTACAGTTGTAATATATTTACATTGTGAATTAGAAAAGGTCAGCAACATTGTATATAAATGAAGATGTACTCAGATTTTGTCCCTTTCTTGCTCTCTTAATACAAAAATAGTTTTAAGTCAATACTTATGATCTCTTTTTTTTGTGTCCTGAAAGCCCATAGGCTTCTAGCTTTGACACCTGTGTCTTAAAGGAGGGCGAGGCAAGGATTAAAAAGTATTCACAGAATCACAGAATATTAGGAGTTGGAAGGGACCTCAAAAGATCATACAGTCCAACCTCCCTGCCAGAGCAGGATCACCTAGACCAGGTCACACAGGAACACATCCAGCAGGGTTTTGAATGTCTCAAGAGAAGGAGACTCCACAACCTCTCTGAGCAGCCTGGTCCAGTGTTCTGTAACGCTCACAGTAAAGAAGTTTTTCCTCATGTTCACATGGAACCTCCTATGCTCCAGCTTGCTCCCATTGCCGCTTGTCCTGTCATTGGCTATCAGAGAGAAAAGCCTGGCTCCTTCCTTCTGACACTTGCCCTTTACAAATTTATAAACATTAATGAGGTCACCCCTCAGTCTCCTCTTCTCCAAGCTAAAGAGACCCAGCTCCCTCAGCCGCTCCTCATAAGGGAGATGCTCTGCTCCCTCCATCATCTTTGTGGCTCTGCGCTGGACTCTTTCAAGCAGTTCCCTGTCCTTCTTGAACTGAGGGGCCCAGAACTGGACACAATATTCCAAATGTGGTCTCACCAGGGCAGAGTAGAGGGGAAGGAGAACCTCTCTGACCTACTAACCACCCCCCTTCTGATACACCCCAGGATGCCATTGGCCTTCTTGGCTACAAGGGCACAGTGCTGGCTCATGGTCATCCTGCTGTCCACCAACACCTCCAGGTCCTTTTCTGCCTGCCTCATTGCTTTCTTATGGCAAATTATGTCAGATGACAAATCTTGGTTAATACTTCCTGCTCCAACTTGAGTAATTGGAACTGGTTGCTTACAATTCAGTGGCACATTTCAGATGAAAGTTTCAGTTTTGGGGTCTTTTGCTTGAACAATGAAAGAAATTTTAGATTCCAGCTTTAGATTTTGAGCCTCTACCTTCCTACCCTTAAGTGTGCAAATTACAGTTTTCATTATTTCAATATTGTTTTCTTCCAGCACTCTTGTTCTATGGTCAACCTGAATTTCACTGACAAGTCCCTCCAACTGTGCTATGGAACTGAGAGGTCTGTGCTTTCCTCTGGAAAACTGAGTTGTATTTACTCTGTACTCAGCAGCCCTGCTGTATTGACACCTTTTACTAGTCGTTAGACAGCATTCGTTGTATCTGCAAGTGCAGCATTGTTTGCAGTAAATGTATGGATTGGCAATTTGCTAATTCTAATGCATTTAGCCCTGGATTAACAGTATTGGATTCCACCTCTTCCCCTTTCCTAGTGGTTTCCTTTATAATTTCTCATGCAAGTCCTTATGATAAGTTAACACTTTTAAGGATTGTGGAGTTTGAAAAAGCACATATTAATAGCACACCTCTGAAATTTAAAATAAGCAAAAATTGTACAGATAGGAACTCCATTTATTATTCTGTGTTTTCCCCATATTTTTAGGCTCCCTCTAAGGCTTTGGGGAAATTTTGCTGTATGAAACTTGAATGCTAATATGAGTTATTAGCTACTCTACTAGTAACTGACAGACATAGCTGATTTAATTTAATTTTACTGACAAGTTGGTATCCATTTGTTTCCTTCTAGCTGTCTTCTAGGACAGCTACAGCTGCAGGTTTCAGCTCCTTTAAAAGAATTGATGAACCTGGAAGATGATGCACTTTATTGAGGCAACCCTAGTTTATTAGCACATTGTCTTAGGAGATGTTGAAGTGTGCATCAAACACTGTTTCTGTTATTGTAGTGGTGTCATACTCCAGGTGTGAGGGAATGGGTTAACACTTTCCCCAGAAGCATTGTGCATGATAAAACTCAATATAATGTTTTGCTGCTGCTTTTATGGATTTGATAGGGTCACAAGTCTTGGACTTTGTCCTTCCTTCTCTTTTCTATCTGGATGTAGGTGGTAGACTGAGCATTTTCAAGTTGAGTGTCAACACCCATCATGTTGTGTACAGTGAAACACTCTATCCTCAGTTGTGCCATTATGGTGCCTCCAAACTTAACGTGACCAAGGCAGAGTTGTACATCTCTGTTTAACTGTGGGTGTCTTTCTCCTTAGCCCTTAGGGATTTGATGGGGAGCTGGAAGATGAAATCTGAATGCGAAGTTATTACCACTGATGGCTGCTTTACGTTGTGAATAGATAATGTAGTAAACTCGAAGTAAAACCAAGAAAGTTGATCATACCTATTAATCCTCAGGAGTTTTAGAACAAAAAATAGCTTAATGTTTTTGATGATTTTGTAATTCCTCGCAGATATGGCTGTTTAATTGCAATAGATGCTGTTAAGTTTAGGGATATTTTATCACATGCCAAATCAACAATTGAAGACTTGAAGCAATTTTTGTGGTGTTTCCATTTTTTTCCAGCATGGAAAAAGAGTTGAAACTTCCTAGCTACTAATAAATTCCAGTTTTTCATAAGCAAACTATTTTCTTCCGTACATTGCCTTCCAAACAGGCTTGTGATATAAAGTAAGGACCTACACAGGAAATAAAAATTATTCATAAAATCAATTTTTTTGTGTGCCTTCCTAAGGAAATATTGCTTGTGATACAGCAGCATTGGATTTTTGCTTGTCATCGCCTGTCCTCCCTGGTTTTCCAACCCCGTAGTATTTCATCCCTTTGACAACTTTCAAATTTGACAGTGGTCTGAGTGATGCTAAGTTCCTGTAAGTTCTGTGAAGAAGTGTGCCAGGACGGAATGGCATCCTGCTTATCTCCATGGCCCAGAACTCAGCCTGATTTGAACTCAGCCCTGATACACGTCAGAATTCCTGTATGACTTCACTGGGAGACAGACAACTGTACGAAATTAGTCTATGTATACGCACGTGTCTTTGTATACGTAAAGTAGGCATCTGTATATGGATACATTAACACATATCTACACACAAGCACACAGAAAATTTGTACTGACTGAATCAGTACAGGGGACTTTTTGTTTTCTCAGAAGGGATGACAGTGAAGGCAGATTTTTCTTCAGTGCGTTTTGCCAACTGGGATGCCTTTGTTGAGATTCATACAAGCGTATGAATAAAAACATTGGTTTCTGGTTTTGTGTTGGTGCTATGTTCTTTGTCATGGTTGCTGTCTGAAAGATAAATTGTTACTAGCATGGCAGTTGTCATATTGGGAATGTTCAGTTGGAAGAGAACCCACAATTTATTATATGTTCCTGAGGTTTTACTATCATTAATTCTCCGGAGAAAGAGAGAATAGGGCAAAGCCCAAATTCTTCTTTTCCTCCTCCCTGTTTTTTCTGTTCAACTAGAGTTCGCTGTAAGAATATATAAAGTAACTTTGCTTGTGCTCAGAGTAGGAAATGCCAATGTTGCAAACTGATTCATCAAGATTTTAATATTAGATATTTCTACACTCTTATTATCTTATCTTGGACAGCATACAGGTTATTTTGAATGTAGCAGAAACAAGCTGTCAGCAGCAAGAAACTACTGGTAAAAGCTATTTGAAGCATAGAGCATAGGTGCTTGAAGCAAAGGCTTGAATTTGCAGTAACTATGACATATTGCTGTGTAGCCAGCTTCTGTGGTAACTTGTCACAAAGAAATGTTTGGTTTTTGTTGGTTTGGGGTTTTTTTGTTTGTTTTGTTTTGTTTGGTGTTTGTTTTGGTTTGGTTTTTTTGGTTTTCATCTGTCTGAGGGCCAGAATGTAAATCCACTTTAATCTGGTGGCAAATTAACAATAACCTGAAAATTGTAATTGGTCATTCAAGCCTTTTATAAGCCATTATTTGGAACAAAGAATTCACTGGGGGCCTGTGTGTATGAAGTAATCAGGTTTCTTGCCAGCATGCTCTCAAGAGTAATTTGTGAAATGTGGAAATGCTGATATTTGAGACTTCCTTAAAATAAACGAAAGAGCTAAGTTGCTGGAAGATGGCTTCTACTGATTGGAATAATATTAATAAATTAAAAAAATGAAACCATAATGTTATTTTCCTGTTATACATATTAACGCCTTGTACAATTTCTGGTCCAGGTTTCATAATATTTTTTGAATTTCTCCCTGAAACTTATAATTTATGTTTTCTACACCCAGAACTGAATATTAAGTGTATCATGAGAATTGTTATTCTGTAATTGTTTATTGGAATTGTAGCAACCGCAGTGAAGCTTGACTTCAGTACAGAAGGAGATAACTGCACGAAGGAGAGATCACATTATAACAGATCTTAGGTGCTCACATGTATCTGTATATTGGTTCTCCTATTTGTGTACTGTAAAATATAATAGTTTTTTTTAACAAAAAAAAGTTTAGTATCTACAATGTAGGAAAAGCAGGTAATTTTTGTGTCAGTTTTGGCAGCAGTATATCTGCTTATAGTCAGAATAATTATTCTTTGATGCATTCATTTCAACTATGTCCTTGTGCTGGTATTTCTGTTTGCAGTGTGTGGTATGACCTGGTTTTGGTGTTTCACTGATCTCATTTAAAATTCACATGACACTTGCAGCTTTTTTTAATTAAGAAAGTTTTTAGTATGGCTTGTTGTGTTCATTGGTAAATGACTTAGAGCTCAGGCTGGAAGAGAAGACATTTTGTACTGTTCCACAGGTCGGTGCCTTCAGTCATTTACAACATGACATTACTGCCTTGATTTTACAAGCAAAAGATTTACTTTTTCTAAATCAGTACAGATGATATTTTCGTGGTTTTATTCAGCATCTGTTATTACACAGTCTCATTCTTGTTTGGTTGATGTATCAAATGCCTTGCCTGGAAGTAAAGGTAAAGCTGTGCTGCAGTTTAATTACGTATTATCTGTTTCTGGATTGCACTGATAAGTGTTTAATTAAGTATGTATAGAGTGCTTCAAGCTAGTGTCTAATAAAATACGGTTACACTGAAAATATTTCATTTGATAACAGTCAAGGCTAGATGGGTCAGTAATCAAAGTTTTATTTCCACTCCCTATATGTTACAGTTCTGCTACAGCTGGCAGGTGATGCTTTACCGAATGATATGGCCTTGTCTCTTGCCTATCTGCTTGCACTGCCACAGGTATGTTGGTAGTGATTTTCTTTGCATGTTTTTGCCAGGAAAGGCTATTCATAGCATTTCAGAGTTTCATAAGAAAACGCAATTTCCTTAGGGTTTTAAAATCTTAAGTCTCTGAATTCATTTAAATACACATTTTTGTAGATTGGACTGGTGCATTTAAAGGAAACTGAACAAATGCTGTTGGACTGGTTTATGAGCATGTCACTGGTGAAAAGACACATTTTCTGACTTAAAATATTAGTCGGGCCACCTGACTGACAGTTCTAATGTAGCTCTGAAACATGGATAACAACTTTGTGATATAGAAGCAGCAAAACTGTAGTTGGAAAATAATTTTGGTTAGGTGTTTGTGCAAGGGGAGAAAACCATCATAATGCAGAATTATCTTTGTGTGTGTTTGTGTAGGCTACTGATTTACTTCTGTGCCAGAGAAACATAGTCTTATGTTATTCCTAAATCACAGCAAGTGGCTTTTTAGAAAGTTTGTGCACTTAATGTTGTATGCTTCCTAATTCTTTCATCTGAATTAATGCTCTCTTTCTCCTAGGTGGTAGATGCCAGCAAATGCTTTGAAAAGCAATTACATTCTGCGTTATCTCTCCAGCTGGCAAGTTATTACTATAGCCTGCAGATCTACGCTCGTTTGGCACCATGTTTCAAGGACAAATGCCACCCTCTCTACAGGGTTAGTACTCTTTCTTTTTAAAACCATATTCAATAATGTGTGGCGTTAAAGCTGTTCTAAAAAGCCAGTACATGAGTTAAGCCTGTTAAGGAGTTGATCTGACTTGCACTGTGAGCAGCCTGTTAAGTTGCACGTAATTATTCTTCTATAGTGCTGGAAACAGACAAGTACTTCACAATTTGTGGAATAGTTTTTGAAGCACAATATCAAGTGTCATTTATACGTAATAGCACTATCTGTCTTCAAAGTAGTTTATAAACACTGAACAATAATGAGAATAACCTATGCTGTCATCTTGCAATAATGATACAGTGCAGTACTTCCTAGGAAGAGTCAAGTGTCCATTTAAACAAGAATAGTGCTATTCAAGAAGTTTCTGTAGCTTTCCGTGAGGTGTGTTGTTTGGCATGTCAATTTACATACGATGTTTCAGAAATTCATCATTTCGTCGATGGATTTGTTGATTTCCTTTGACTACTGTCTCTTTTTGAAATGGCACAGCTTTGCTTCTTATTCATTGCCTATGATTAAAGCAGATGCACAGTAAACTTTGAACTGAATCAAAGAGGTGAGATTGCACATTGCTTTCACAGAATCACGGAATGGTTTACGTTGGGAGGACCTTGAAGGTCATCCAGTCCAACCCCCCTGCCATGGGCAGGGACACCTCCCACCAGACCAGGCTGCTCAAAGCCCCATCCAACCTGGCCTTGAACACCTCCAGGGAAGGGGCATCCACAACTTCCCTGGGCAACCTGTGCCACTGTCTCACCACCCTCACAGTACAGTATTTCTTCCTAATATGTAGTCTAAATCTACCCTCTTTCAGTTTGAAACCATTACCCCTTGTTCTATCACTACACTGCCTGATAAAGGGTCCCTTACCATCTTTCCTATAGGCCTGGTTTAAGTACTGGAAGGCTGCTCCATGGTCTCCCTGGAACCTTCTCTTCTCCTGGCTGAACAACCCAACAATCTCAGCCTGTTTTCGTAGGAGACTTGCTCCAGCCCTCTGATCATCTTTGTGGCTTTCCTCTGGACTTGTTCCAGCGACTTAATGTCCTTCTTGTGTTGAGGACCCCAGAGCTGAATGCAGTACTCCAGATAGAGTCTCATGAGAATAGAGGGGGAAATCACCTCTTTCAACCTTATCAGGCTTCTTTTGATGCAGGCCAGGATACAGTTTCTTCAGTGCCATATCAGTTGCTATCCATGGGAGTAGATCTAGCTATGGTTTTTATTTTTGTGTTTCTGAAGAGCTCTGTGCGGGGGAAAAAGTTGATCTTAAACTGTTATGGTACAAAATTCTATGAAGATCATGAACTCAGTTGAAGATGTCATTCCATAGTACACCGTCTTCCAGCTAATGCCACTGGTGTCTGGCAACACCTTTATCTTCTGACTGTTTCTCAAACCAGAAATGTGTCTCTAAGTCCTTTAGCCATATAATTCAAAGCTATGCATTATTCTTAGGAGGTAACTGAGTGCGTTTTTGTGGGTGAAGGTGTATAACCAATATTTTTTCTCCTGTTCTAAACCTTTACATATTCAGTAAAGATCTAAATCTCGCACATCAGCTACGTGCTTAGAAGGTGGATCCTCGAGGTCATAGAGTGTATATTTCTGTATAACAGCACCTGAGTCACAGTAGGTGCGGTTTCTGTAGTTCATTGCATCAAGTATCCTGTCTGAAAACTCTAGCTGAATTTATAAAAAGCTGTATAGAAGTGTGGAGAAACATAGAATAGTAGGGGTTGGAAGGGACCTCTGAAGATCATCTTGTCTAACCCCCCCCAGTACTCCACATGTAGCCTCACCAGGGCAGAGTAGAGGAGGAGGAAAACCTCCCTCGACCTACTGGCCACACTCATCTTAATGCACCCCAGGATGCCATTGGCCTTCTTGGCTGTGAGGGTGCATTTCTGGCTCATGGTCACACATGGTTTAGGTTGGAAATGACCTGCAAGATCATCAAGTCCAGCTGTTAACCTAGCATTGCCAAGTCCATGGCTAAACCATATCCCTACATGCCACATCTACACGTCTTTTAAATACCTCCAGGGATAGTGACTCAACTTCCAGGGATGGTATGTGAAGTCTATACTTCCTATATCTCCTTTAAAATAGCATTATATAAGTCTTTCAAAAGGGTACATGAGTATCTCTGGCACAATGAGAGAAGTGTTCTCAGAATGAAGATGACAGATGTGTTATAAGGATAATGGGGAGTAGAGGGGGAGAGGTCCTCCTCCACTGGCTAAAACCGACTCTTAAGACTTGCTAGTTAGTCAAGAAAGACATTCTGGAGGATTTCTTTGGTCTGTTACATAAGGGGTTGATTTATTTTTTTAAATTTTTTTACTGTGACTTGAAATTTTGACACATCAAAACACAATCATAAGTTGCCAGAAATTCTCATTAACTTTTTTGTGCTGTTGGTGTCAAAAAGGAAATCAGCTTGATAATTTCAATTTCTGATGAAGTTATTACTTTGCTTTAAGGAGAAACAAAGGGATTTGGGTATAAAGTACTGCTTTAGTTTTGTACCCAAAATTATTTTGAATTTTGACTGTTATATAAACATAATAGTTATAGTTTAGGACATCTGAGCTATATTAGTTTTTTATCTTGAGGAAGAATTGAAAGAAGCTGTACAACCAAATAAATCCACAGATTAAGGTCTGTCTGAATAATGCTAGATAGAAGACGAGAGCAAAATTTCTGGAAGTGGCCTGGCTGTGCAAAGCATGGGTCTGAGGAGTCCCTTTGAGAACCTGTGTTTATTTTTGGATCAGGTCTGTGCTGGGCCTGGCAGGGTTGGGGTTCACTTTCTGCATAGCAGTGCCTATGGTGCTGTGCTTTGCGTCGGTGGCTGGAAGTGTTGATAACACACCGGTGTTTTGACTGCTGCTGAATCTTGCTTGCACAGCATCAAGGCTGCCTCCCCCCTGCCACTCCAGTTCACCTCTCAGTACTGCCCAGTCCTGATAAATGAAAAGAAAAAAAAAGTACAGCCAAGCAAGAAATTTGCTGCATAATTTTTGCTGTTAACAGCTTGCCTCCTCATTTGTTCTATCCTGGTGATCTGATAAGTGACCAGAATAAATATATCTGGGGGATTGTTTACTCTAGAAAGGAGTGAAAAAGTTTAATTACCCTAAGGTTAATTAACATGTTCTATTCCTGTCCTCATGCTAATAATTTAACGCTGAGGTGTTTCTATGGTGTTGGAGAGGGATGTATTTTACTGACCTTAGTTGGGGGCAAAGTTTTTCTTGGGTTATCAAGCAGCAGTTCTAACAAATACTGCTAAATTGCAGAGGGAAATGGGAATTTTGCAATTAATAGCAGATAGGGAAAGTTGCTGTTAGCAGAAAATTTTTAGGCTTTTATTTTATTCCCTTACTTGTTATTTTTAATTTAAAAAATGGATTTGATTCCTATCCTTTTGTGCATTGCAGCTGGCAATATGTTGAAACAATAACCTCAGAGATTCTCCCTAGTGATGCTTTTGCTGCAGCCTGGAGTTGGTGAAGAAGCTGGGAGTTCAGTTCCGTGGAGATAAATAGCCTGATATAACTGGCTTTTCAGTCACTGTGTGAAAGGGTGCATCTATCCAGTGAACTTCTGCTCTGTGCACTTAACCTGCTTCCCTTTTCTTTTTGCTGCTTAGGGAAGCCTCTGTCAGTCTCACTGTAAGAGGCAAAATTAGGTCTGCTTTCGCCACACTTAAATTCACTGGCTACAAAGTACGGGGGTTTTTTTCGTTTTGTTCTTGTTTTCTCTCTATATCACAACCATTGTGTATTTTAGTTCCTGTGCTGTTTCTCTTTATTCCTGACATTGTTAGACCATTGCTTCTGTCTGTTCATCTCTTCCTTTGCAGGACCATATTTAGGCTCTCATATTTACTCTCCTCGCCACAATGACATCTGTAGGCTTTAAGTGCACTAAGTGACTCTCTCTCATCTCTTTTCTCATAGGGGAAAAACAGCATGTGGAACAGTTTTTAAATTTATATGTTTATCTCTTTTGCATTAATGAAAGCAAGGTCAAAAGATGAGTGCTTTGAACTTGGAACTGAAGATGTAGAAATTTGTTCATCTTAAGGGGTTTCATTCTGCAGGCTTTATCTGGCTCCCATGGCAGTTTTGTTGCTTATTTGTATAAGGTTGACCTTAATTATAAATACAGTTATATTAAGGCAGAGAAGCAGAACTCCCAGCCATGGTCCTTATGCTACAGTTCTAGGTAATATTCAGAATGTAGAATGTTGAAAATAAAGACTTCATTTGAAATGGAAATAAATAATTGTATAAAAAGGCTGTATACAGGAAGAGGGAGTGAAGCAGATCTTGTGGGTTACGAGATGTATTACCCATGGTTTATGAGGTCTAATGGCTTTAACTTTACTACGTGGCACTGTAGTGCAGCTAGAAGTTAAGTCCATACACATGAGGTAGTCTCTTATTGGAAATCAAGTAACCATTGAATGATTGCATGTTGGTTTGTGTTTAATAGTAATATCCTGTCACATTCCTAAATTATGGGCTTAACACACTAGAAATAATATCTACATTTTTAATCTCGGGTTGGATTTGTGTACATGAAGTTTTACTGGAGTCTGTTAACACTGACATGGAAAACTGACAAATTGTCAGTCTTGTTTCATTCTGTCTTGACATTCAGCTTCTCATCCATAAATGCAATGGCTAGCACTAAGTCTGTTGTGGATGGTAGAATGGTATTGCTCTCTATTGTGCTCTTATGATGAACTTAAAACATGACTTTCTTTACTTTTATTACTGCTTTTAGTCCTGATTCAAGCCCTTGTCTCCTGTTTGGCTCCTTTTTCTGTTTAGTTAGTGATGCTGAAAACTAGCAAATTTATTTTGGCAGTGTGATTTTCCCCCTTTGCTTCACTGTTTGAATTTTCTGTTGTGTGTTTTGCATCAAGTTCAAGTTTCTCAACTGGTCTTTAGGTTGCTCCACTTCCTTCT